ATGGCAAATCAAACAGTCACCAATTTCCTTACAATACCGGTAGAAATTGTCTATCGAATTCTTGATCAACAATCGGATCTTACGATCATATGTTCCATGACAAATGTATGTCAACGATTCAATGCGATCGTAGACAGTTATCACCGATATCAGGTAAACTTTTTTCTGTCATGATCGCCTAATTTTTATCCATTGACTCTCGAATTATTTTACATTCCTACAATCTCTATGTAAGTAGAATAGCTTCAATAAAGCATACGTGAATAAACTGTTTGTCACTCAAAATAATTCATCAGCTACCCCTATCTTCCCAAAAATTCATTTCTTATTTTATGATAATATAAAAAATAATGTCGTGATAATTGGAAAAAAACAGTTCCTTTTTTCTTTATATTCAATTTCATCTAAATATACCACGTTTCAAACTAAGTATGATGTCATAAACATACAGTGTTTGAATAAGAACGAAAAAAAGGAATAAAACATTATTATTTGCGTTTTACCTGTATGTAAGCACCTTTTTTTAAAATATCATTTCGATAATAAAAATCAACTTTTGACAGAAATTACCTTCGATAAACCAGTTTATCTTGTTGTAAATAACATCCTCGATACTTTCTTGAGAAATACTTCCGACAAAAACTCCTTCAAGAGCATGAGCGACTGAGAGTGTCGGTGGCTGTAAATGCAGAAAGTATTGGCTCACAACAACAACCAGACTTACACTACCAAGATGGAATATTTCTTCAAGGAATACTACTTCTAAAGCAAATTATTACCCAAAATAATTGCTCCAAAACGGATTTCATCTGGAGGACACTTTCTTCAGGATGAAATTTCGAGAATAAACTGTTAGCGCTATTTTCTTATACGGCGTTTTAGTATATATTCATCTTCTTCTCTCAATGAGTCTAGCATTACGGAATAAATTATCTGACTTTTTCACTTTTTTAAAATCAATGTAGTTTCATAAACAGAACCCTATCATTGCATCGAAATCAATATATATTCTCACTTATATAAATCCTACGCATCAATAAGACCAAGTTCGATAACTCAAATAGAGTTCTGATGTAAAAATACATATCGAATCTGAATAATGAATGTAAACAAAACTATCTACTAAGTACCGATAAGAAATTATCTTTCGTCATACCTGCAGAATACTAACAAACGCTGAACTATACTTTACTACACTCTAAACCATTCATTGCAACACATTGTCATTTCGACACATAACACTATTCAGAATTGTTTTCTACAGGAGTAGCTTACAACCTATTTTTCATCAACCGAAATATATTTCATTCTTTCGCAAACATTCACAAACTAAAGTAACATATAGATGAAAACTTTCTATCGCTAGTTCAGGCTCGGTAACTTCTTTCATACGAGCAACACACCCGTTAGAACAACATTAATTTCATTGTTCTAACCGCATTTAATATCAACTAGCTATTCTGTCTCTTCATTTGTACCATGTCTTTACCTCCTGTTTTTCATCTAGACATTCACCACGCTAGATTTCACGGGGAAACAAATCGGAGATATTGAAGCACAATCTCTGAGTGATATATTACAATACAACACAGTAACTCTCATTCACTTTTTATTTTATATCATGTGTTTACATGAGCTTTTCATATAGACACTCACCGCACTCAATCTCTTTTGGAATGATATTGGTGATCAAGGAGCACAATATCTTGCCAATGCTCTACAAATTAACAAAGTAACCATGATACTTGTTCTCCTTTATCTTCACTTCATTAT